CTTCATGCAGACTGCCTTGATGGAGAGCCACCTGGCCTCCTGAAGGATTTTCAAATGATATCAGTGTTCAAAACCTCGGTTGGTTGAGTACTTTTTTGGGGGATTATACCATATTATACCCACCATTTTTTGGGGTGGATGATCAGAATTTCATTGGGGGAATCTTGGTGAACCAACCAATGGAATGATAGAGGGATCAATTGAACACCAGCATTGACCAATTCATGGTGCAAACCAACATGCGAATTGAGATCTGAGCAAACCTTGAGCGCTTAGCCATGTTGATAGAGGATGTGTTGATGCTTAGCCATTGTTGAATTTGAAATTATGTTTGTGGGATGCAGTCACAATGATAGTTTTTTTTTTTGAGCTGATCTTAGCATCCTCAACACAAGCGGGCAGTAACTGGGATTTCTAACAACGGAAAATAAGCAGAGAAATCAGCTAATGATCGAAATGGCAATCAGCACATACATTGATGTGTTTGTATATCAATGATGAATGCACCACCAGTCTAGGATGGCACCCTACCAGAACAACTATAATACCCTCTGGTAATTTAACGTAGCTATTGAAAATTGCCATTTATAGTGGATTTTCCCATTAAGAATGGTGATTTTCCATAGTTTTTTGTATGTTTACCAAAGGGTAACTATGGTTTGATGCAGATTCCCCCGTATGAAAACGTGGCGTAGCACAAGCATCGTGACATGGGATCAGCAGCTCCACTGAAGCTAACAACTTGGAGACAAGTTGTTGCTTTATCTCTGCGATGCCTTTAGAATATATGGGTATGGGTCAATACCTATAGATACATTTTTAGTGGGATGAACATCCATTTACCAGCTATTTTGATGTTCACCAGGGGTACAAGGTTTTGACACACTGCCATATTGATTTATAAATAGCCTTTATTTGCCCACCATGGTAATTCCTTGTTGCAGCCATACCCAGCCTGGAAAATGTATGAAAATGTGGCTGTGTGATCGGTGTGGCTCAGGTATTTGCGCTGGAGTCATTTTCACCAACTCCATTCTGATTGGAGTGCAAACTGCAGCTGGTCGCAGTCATTGGTTTGGTTTTCTGAATGCTCCACCGAGGAAAGCCAAAAAAGAATGGGAAGCTGTAGATGTTTCAGGATGTTTCTAAGAATTGGTCGATAAATGTCCGGTCTGCGGGATTTTGAACGTCACTTTTGGATACTTGTGGATGCTTGGTGAGGATCTCTCCAATAGTTGGGCAATTTTTGACTGGGAGGCTCATCACACCTAGTTCTATCCTGGGAGCCTAGGAGTGATGGTCACACGTGGTTCTGTACTATACTGTACCAAAAAAAGAAGTTTGCCACATTGAGTAAACGCAGATGTTCGAAATACTTGAAATGAATTATTGTACTTGCGATACGATACATGCACGTTTGTTAATTGTTGATTTCTGAGAAACTGATTTGATAGTAGTTGGAAGTAAGGTTTACTATTGTACTCGATCTTACTATTATTGTACTATTTATCCTTTACCTTAACCCATATTTGTGCGGTAGCAAACTGAGTAAGGTATGTCAGGCGTTGCAAGTGATGGGTCAAAGCCTACAATCATAGAGATGAACATCACACATCATACCACACTTATTTGGGTTGAAAGCCAGGGTGCAAGGGCTTTGACCAGGGCTCCATTTGGCTGTCAAAATGGGTCAAAATGGGTCAAAATGGGTCAAAATGGAAAAGTCCCAAGGCACCAAGGCACCAAGGCTTTGACCCAAGGGATGCGAAATGGATCTGGCTTCCGCGACAGTTGTGACATCATGATTCATCAGACATCCACAGCTTGGGGATTCTCAAAAATATTCTGAAATCATCCATGGAAAAAGTCCTAGTCCTCTTTTTTTCACCATTAACATCCATTAACCAACAGTCCAATATATCTGGATAATTGATTCGTGGATTCGTGGGATCAGATCATCCCCATGGCCCAAAATTTTCCCAAATAAATGGGGCTTTGAATGGAAAAATCATCGAATAACTGACGATTTCTATGGTGAATGATGGTTTCTCCACTTTCTTGCTGGAGTAAAACCCGAGGATCACTAGATCCTAGATCTTAAGATTTTAAGGCTTAAGATAAACTGCAAGACCAGGTTGATCATGACTTTCTGACATGATCTTTGCAATTTGAATTTGAAGGGCTCAGTTTAAGCTGCTTCTTAGGCGTTATAAAGGTCCCGAAAAAGATAGACAACCTGTAACTTGCCCTTTTTGTTTGGTGACGTGTTTTTCCATCTCCTTGGGTAATCCCACTGTGCATTCGAATTTCATTGTGGTTTTCCACCCTTTGACCTGCATTTTTCTATGTGTTTCTATCCCATGATTTCGCCTCCATTCGCCACGCCAAAGGACTACATGGCCAAAAGACTCGGAGAAGAGCAACCCCTGGTCTTCACGGTGCGGCTATATGGGTTAGACTGGTTAGACCATAGGTTGTGCAGTGTGTTCAGCAGCATACCACCCTTGAGACACATACTCATTGAAGATTCCCCATCCCATATATTTTGGATGATTTTGGATGATTTTGAGTATATTACATAGTGCAACTGTGTGTTCGAGTTCTACATCAGTGCCATTCCAACCACCCCAGGGTTGGTTGTCGGCTTTCCGGCGGGGAAAAAAGGAGATGAAGCCTGACTGTTGCGACAGTTGCAACAAGCAGAGAAGGATACCGATACATTACACAGTAGTATAAATTCAACACAATACAACCGATAAACAGGATGTTTTCAACCTGCAATCGCTCAGTCCAGTAGCAACAATGAGTTGGATACAACCATCCTTCAACGCAACCAGTGCACGAGATATATTCATTAAACAAGGCATCATGACTCTTTTTGGCCGGCACTCATTGAGATGTAACCTATATACAGTAGCTTGGCGAATGGTGGATTTATCGGCTTTCGTTCCCACAAATGGGAGAAAAGCATCCATATATTTTCTGTAATGTATCTAAGCTTACAATGAATACATGAGCGTAGACAGCGTAGACTTGCTAAATGCGCGGAGCTGTTCCTTCTTTTCTTGGGAAGCAGGTTGCTATAAGTTCATGTACTACGTGGACTCAAGTCTAAAAAAAAGCTGGTGCATTGAGATGGTGTCTTTGTCAATAATCCTGCAGGAGACTCGACTCCCATGCCTCAACCACTGAGCCATTCCACCGTAAGATTGTTTTATCGTACACAAATGTTTATTCACCTGAAATCCAACACTTGACCTACTTTTTTCAACTGACTTACTGTAGTCACAAAGTGGAGCCCTCCAGCTACAAGTCGCTTTGCTTCCGCCCTTTCAGCTGTAGGTATCTCCAACATAGATTCATCCAACTCCGATTCAAATTGTTGTACTTAATCAACAGACAACTGGATGTGTTTTCTATTTCAACAATTCTATACAATTCTGTCAACCATGACCATAACAATAATTTACCCATGTTGTTTCATGGTTTTAGAAAGAACAGATGGCTGTCTAAACAATGGCTGTCTAAAAACCCAGATGTTTAATTTACCCATGTTTTTTTTCAACCAAAAAACCCAATGGCTGTCTAAAAGAACAGACCCTTCGGGCCCTTCGGGCAGGTGGTGGACGCCGCCTACACAGCCATCTTCGGTCTGGAGCTGTCCGTCCGTCTGCTGGGCTCGGGCTTGGGCTTCTTCTACCGACGCTCGGCACGGTGCTGGGTTGGGCGCCGGTGTTTATGGTAGACATATATACATATAATATATATATATATGAATTATAATTATATGTGTATATATATATATATATGCTAGCATATTTTACATACATACATACATACATGCATGCATGCATGCCTGCATACATACATACATACATACATACATACGTTACATTACATTACATTGCATTGCATTGCAGTACAGTACAGTACAGTACAGTACGTTACCTTACATTACCTTACACTACCTTACATTACATTACATTACGCACATTACATTACATTATATATACATACATTAAATACATTAAATACATTACATACATTACATACATTACATACATTACATACATTACATACATTACATACCTTACATACCTTACATACCTTACATACATAACATACATAACATACATAACATACATAACATACATGCATAACATAACATAACATAGCATAGCATAGCATAACATAGCATAACATACATACAAACATACATGCATGCATGCATGCATACAGGCATACATACACATACATGCATACATACATTCATACATTCATACATTCATACATTCAGGCATTCGTGCATACATGCATACATGCATACATGCATGCATGCATGCATACAGGCATACATACACATACATTCATACATTCATACATTCAGGCATTCAGGCATACGTGCATACGTGCATACGTGCATACGTGCATACCTGCATACATGGTGCCCGTGTAACAGTCGCAGCCGCATACAGGCATACATGCATGACATAGCATGTAAACAGGCATATGTAATGCATACCTGCATACATGCATACATGCATACATGCATACATGCATACATGCATACATACATGCATACATGCATACATGCATACATGCATACATGCATACATGCATACATGCATACATGCATACATGCATACATACATACATACATACATACATATTTTTTTGTAGACGAACTGGCGAGCACCACATTGTAGCAACTGGCAGTGGAAAGTTTGTGAAACGAAAATGGTGAGATGCGTAACCCAGAGTGGGCTCGAAATTGTTGTACATGATGACTACCTGATGGAATACTGAAAATGATGGCTAAGTTGATGGCTAAAAATATTGCTGTCTTATCCTCCTCCAATTCGACCACCAAAAAGATTGAACAGTCAACCACCATGTTTAGACCCTTTTATGGTAGGATTTTACTGTTCTGTATTTTGAAGGTTAGACTCCTAGATTGCCATCTACCTATTGGTTGAACTAACCAGCTAGGTCACGCCGTGACCGGTGGCCTGTGGCCGGCGGCGTCATCACCTTAATTTTTCACACTCAAGGGCGCCAATGGCAAATCTTGCCAAGCTCCTGGCACATCTGCGTCGGTGTAAACTTTTCGCTCACATTCAGATTGCGACCCCAGAGCCATTGAAGCGTCTTCTCCTTCAGGTGAGGATTGACTACCCCATGTCCTTTGGACCTTTTTTTGATATTCAACTGCTTTGGGAGCCATTTTTTCAAAACTCCCCAAGCTCTGTCGAGACACTGAGTGCCTCCAACGTAGTAACAAGGACGTAGTAACATGTTGCATCTTCAAGAGAACATATATGTTGACAACGTAGTATCAAGGACGTAGTCGTCAGGAGTACTATCAAGGACGTAGTCGTCAGGACGTTGATATCTCCACCCCACCCCACCCCACCCCACCCACCCCAACGTAGTGTCAACGTATAGTAACATGTTGCATCCTCAAGAGAACATATTGTTGACAACGTAGTATCAAGGACGTAGTCGTCAGGACATACTATCAAGGACGTAGTCGTCAGGACGTTGATATCCCCACCCCACCCCACCCCACCCCACCCACCCCCACCCCAACGTAGTGTCAACGTAGTAACATGTTGCATCCTCAAGAGAACATATATGTTGACAACGTAGTATGAAGGACGTAGTCGTCAGGACGCACTATCAAAGACGTAGTCGTCAGGACGTTGATATCCACCCACCCCACCCCACCCCACCCCATATATAGATGTACCACATATATAGACAAAACGCACAAAAAGTAACAAAACGCACAGGCCACCGGTCACGGCGTGAGCAACTAACCAGTGGGAAAAGGACATCTATGTTCACAACCAGAGTTTGATTATGGACAAGAACCAGATATCCGAACATCTGTTGGCTACGCTTTGGTCATCAAACATGGTTTGCTGGAAAATCCACCATTTATATCATTGTGTCCCATGGAAAGCTCCAGTTCTGGGACTTCCTAGTTTGCTTGCCATGTTTGATTTCCAATCGGGTAGTGTAGTTCATGTTATCTGTGGTGTTCAGGTGGTTCAATTGGGTTGCTGAACCACCATTGTTTTTTTTAAACTCCCGGAAACCCCCGAGTTCTAGATGATTGATCCTACTAAACATACAGCTTTTGGCAGGGGATCAAAACGCCAAGAATTTCATTGGGAAATACTGGTTTCCGAAAATATGTTCTGTAAATGAGTCTACTCAAACAAGCAGCAATGATGACGGATCTGTGCTTGGCAAACTCTTGAATCTTGAATGACTAAGCGTAAAATGATTGGAGAAGCATGGTTTCGAAACCGTATGCAAATCCTCTCCCATTGTTTCATGTTTCAGAATTTCTCTGCCAGTTCCCAGCTGAAAAATTGCTGGTTGTTTATCGCAGACGCCATCAGGAGACCCTGGCCTTTTCTGGAATTATTTGGCCCCTTGGCGATGCCGGCTTTTATCGCGCTCTTGTGGAGTAAAAAAAAATGTGCATATATCATTTATAGTATACACAGCATACGCATACTCTATATATATATTTGTATATATGCAGCTCAATAGTGAAAAAATAGCACGCATCTCTATATATTTATATAATGTTATACAAGTATATATTCATGCATTAACAAATCATTGAGATCACAGATGTGTATAATATCACTGGCAAATTGTATCAGATACTATTGCGTGGATCACTTCAGACGGCAAAACTGCCTGAGGGCGTGTCAACCACAGATTCAGCATGTTTTATCATATAGTTATGTTGCCATTGTCTACAATCTATATATATATAGTTTCCCTCTAACAGCTCATCCATCCCAAACAAATGGATTCACCAGCTAGCAAAATGGTATCCGCTCTCCATCCACCAGGGGTAAACATTGGCAATTTCTGGATGTTTGACAATTACAAGAACTGTGGTATGTATGTCACATGTTTGGTTCTTGGAGTGCAACAGTCATTTTCTTTAAACACGTGTATAGATTACATTAGTTTCCACGTAGTTGAGTCTCCATGTTGCATCTGACAAGTCGTGGCTTTTCTTTACGCCTCAAGGATGGTGAATGGATAAAGCTGGTCGGTGAAATGGTGGATTTGTTTGGCGAATTGAGGAGTATCCCCTAAAAGTAGAGGCTTTAACGGGACATTCTCATCGAGCGGTGGATTTCCCATTGCCATGGGTCCTTTGGTGCCCTAATTTTGACCCATGACACGTGAGGTCGTTGATAAATCTCCAACGGTGTTGAAACAAAAAAAGGTTCCCTTAATTTTACTTGTTTGGGTTCATGGCATAACTACCACCCAAAAAAAAACGCAATTTTTGGACGAGCATCAGTGAACCCTCTGAGTTTCATCTCAGCTCCAGGATGTTATCATTGTTCCTCGGCGCAAGAAGTGGACGTCACAAAGGGTGGATTCGAATCCTCGATGAAAATCTACCTGCTGATGTGTTTTTGCTGTGTACCCCCACCAGAAAAAAAAAATCCGGATGTGGGTATTTTTTTGTGAAAAAAAACATAAAAAATCACCTCCAACGGCCCTGTTTTTTGGTGTAAAACAAAGGGTCTGGTTTGAACACATCGAAACCATCCGTGGAAGCTGCGCCTGACTATGAAAGCTGCGCCTCATGGAATCTCTCTGTGATGGGATCAGCTGGTCCACTAGATCAAGCACTGCTTTTCAGCAACCATTGGTTTCAACTCTGGTTGGTGGTTTGGAACATGTGGTCAACTGGAAATCCATGGGGCCATGGGGATTGGGATGTGATTATCCCATTATTTATCATGATATACTGGTTGGTGGTTTGGAACATGAATTTTATTTTCCCATATATTGGGAATGTCATAATCCCAACTGACGAACTCATGTTTTTTAGAGGGGTGGCTTGACTCAACCACCAACCAGAACTGGTTTCAACAAGCAAATCACTGAAAAAAAAAATCACCCATTGGTTTTTGACAAGTTCGCACCACTTTTCAGCAAAATCCGGAGTTGTTCTTCTTCGATCTCCAAACGCGCATCCTTGTGCCATGACCATGTCCCTAGGTGCTCCCATCCATCATGGAGCTGGTCTTAGCTTTCTTTCTTCAGCTGCCAGCTGTGAGCACCGACATCACTGCCCCGCGACAGATGACCGGGTTCGTGGAAGCTCCAGGAGTCAAGGGATGTGTTGAGGTTGTTTTTTTTCCGTAACCACCAAGAAGATGTTTTGAATATGTTTCAAAGAAACAAATCCGTCTTGCCGCGGTCAAGCCGATGGGTATCTTGGGGATAGCAACAATAATCCATGTCGTACCACTGAACATGACCACAATCTCTGGTCTTGATGATCTTGATGCTTCAAAAAGTGAAACCTTTCGATCCAGGTGCCATGTGCAGAGTTACAAATAGATTCCATGCAAAGCCTGACGTAAGGTGTACCAAGGCGTCACAGTAATTTTAAACGCTATGCAGCGGGACTGTGCATCCCAGCAATGGTCATTTGACTGAAGTAGTACCCGCCAAAACAAGGGTTTGGCTACAGGACTGATTTACCCATCTTGGAGATTTCAATTTCCGGGATGATGCTGATAGTTTTACAATGCAGAATGCATGCTTCTGCAATGCTCACAGGAGGTTCACGGTCAATAAATAAACCCCAATATATAAAGTTTGTCAAAGTCCCGGTCATATTAATAAACCCCCGGCCACAATAAAGTGCGCCAATCGTTTTCAGGACGTTTATGTTTTCCCCTTGGTTTCTCCGTGGTTTCTGTTTTTTTCCTACAGTTTTTTTTTGACCTCAAAGATCTGAATTATAATCCCGAAAGATCTGGAGAACGAACAAACTCGCAAAGTGGATAGCCTTGAAGCACATCGGAATCACAATAATGACCAATAATGTACCATGCTTTACCCCACAAAAAAATGGACCAATTTTTGGAACGTTCCTATTCCTAAGATTAAAAAAAGACAAGTCGATTCTGCTACAATGTCAATGCCAATTTAGATTCATATCAATTTCAATCGGATTCGTTTTCAATTGGGCCAATTTGATCGGCAATACTAGAGTGCAAAAGTGTTCTCAAGATGTATGTGGTTTGCATTATTAGGCAATTCGTTTGGCTATGCGAAACTGCAAACAATTTCTCGACATGGTTTGGTTTCGTTTTCAAACAGACAATTTGCTGAGCAATACCAACATGCAAAAGCTTTCCCAACATGTGTTTGTTTTCACGTAGGCAATTTGTTTAGCAAGACTTATGTTCAGAGTCCCGCTGGCCTTCGGAACAAGAAGGGTGTGCGGGTTTGCTGCATGGCTGGCACTCGCAAGAAGCACAGCTCCAGAGAGGAGGATGGGTTGGAGGAGGATGCGACGGCGATCCAGCGGTCAAACATCCTGAAAAACATTTGTTGAGGAACATGCGTTTTGCAGGTTTCACGGATGCTTCTCCAAAAGTAAATGGGCAGCGGGCAGCACAGAAATGGGACATCTTCATCAAAGTGGCACCAATGTCAAAGCGCTGTTGAGAAGTCCCAAACCGGCGGGAAATGCTTGGATTGTCGACCCGCAAACTTTCAGGCGGCAGGTATGCTGGCCATGCAACACATGAAGTACCTGAACCATTGCACTACGCTCTATAGACTCGTACGGAACATTTGTTGATTGACCGTACGGAATTAGGCGAGGAGGTCACTTCTGATTTTGCCGAAGACATCTTGCAGCTGGTTGAGACCTGGAATGATTGTGTTGGCAGCTTACGGGAACAGGCACGTGAAGTCTATGAACAATATATACATTATATACGCCGCGCTTCCAGGTTCAATCCGGAAGAAGTATGTGTGGCCTCAACTTTTTTATGATTATTCTGATTGCGAGTATGTTTGTTTAGAAGACATTACTTAGAAGCCAGACAATTGGGGATTTGTACCATTGATGGGATTTGTTTACTTTGATGTATGTAAATATAGTGTAGTTTACTCTAACATAAAACAATATAACATAGTATAATACAATTTATGATATATCATGATATAATATAATATAACATAATATAAGTTATATATATATATGAGCCCGGTCCCCGGACCCCCACACCCCCCCCCCCATCCCCCCCTGCAAATTTGAAGTTCCATGCATCCCTGGTGGCATCAGCAACAGCAATTTGCCTGACAACAGTGTCATGGCCCAAAGTCAGCTTGGAGCTTAGACCCTTTACTCGGCGTGCTATCTGGAAAAGCAGCCAGTGCTCTTTCGCAGTGCTCAGACATTTGCGATCCATTTAGCACTAGGTTCCTTTAGATCAACTCTTTCTGTTGACCAGTGTTGGACCTAAAATCCACACTGGCAGCGGAGCCTGTGAGATCAGGTGACGCTCAAAGTAGAGCATCAGTGTGACGCAATGGCAATTGAGGCAACCATCAACCCAAAGTTGCCCACATGGAGTGGGGATTGGCTTCAATGGCCAGACTACAAGTTGTCGGTAGAATTGGAAGCGGATGCCACTTCCAAAGACGACCTCAGCAGACTTGCTCCAAAGTTGGTGAGAAACCTCACCGGAAAGGCATGGGAGACAGCGGTTGGCCTTGAGAGAGAGAAATTGAAAAGTGAAGATGGAGTGAACTATTTGCTTTCCTATTTGGAGGAGAAACGAGGCCGCCAAAAGGTTGATGTCCTCGGAGATGCTCCTGGAGTCTATTTCCAAAAGAGCGAGATAGTGCGAAAAGATGGTGAGGTTTGGAATGACTTCGAAGCTCGCCATGCGGCTAAAGTCCGAGACATCAACAAAGCTCTGGTCGCAGTCGGCGCAAAAGGTGATACTCCAAGTGAAATCTGGGGTTGGTTCCTTTTGCACCAGTTTGTCCGCCTTGAGCCCTCCGACGTGGCCACCGTGAAGTCTTTTGCCAAGAACTACCAGCTTGATGAAGTCTGTAGAGCCATGCGTCAACTATGGGGAGGTGATAGCCTTGCTCTCCGTGATCAGGAGCGCAAAAAGGCAAAGAACAATGTCAAGGTTTTGATGAATGAGCCCAACACGCCTGATGACAATGGCATTTGGTTAGGATCTCCAGATCTTGACGGTGAGGAAGTGAATCATGAAGATGATCCGGATCTCACTGAGGATGAGATCTCAGTCTTGTTTGATGAAGCATGCGAGGCCCTTCATGAAGACCCTACTAACCCAGTAGTCCTTGCCAATTTCCAAGAGATGAAGAAGTTGAAGTACACGGAAGCCAGGAAGGCTCTGGACCGTAGCCGAACAGCCCGTGGATTCTTTCCCAACAGCACCCGAAGCAGCACGTCCATGAACTCCCGCACAAGGAAGCCACCACCTTTTGATGGTCTTTGCATGCGGTGCGGAAAACATGGCCACAAAGCCAGAGATTGTCTGCAGAAGGCTGCTCCTTCAAACTCTCGTCGTGAACCAGCTGCTGGAAAGATTGGTTTTGTGGGCTACTTGCAGGACGCCAACCAGGCTCTTGTGAATGACGCGGACACGATCATGGATACTGAGAGCGCAATGGTCTTTGAAGAGGACCTTGACTTTCTGTATCAAGAGAGCCATCCCATCCATGTGGCAGTGGCATGTGAGAAAGGAGCTGAGAACTCAGAGGGTCCTGGGTTCATTGGATCGACGCAGGAAACCACCCGTGACAAAGCAATCATTGACTGCGGGGCTTCCGAGTCCATTGTTGGAGCCAACATGTTGCAGGATTTCTGCGACACGCTTCATGAACTTGGCTTTGACCCAAAGTCGGAAGTCACGGTGGATCGTCAAGTGAAAAAGAGCTTCATCTTCGGCAACAATGAAACCAGTTCCTCACTTGGACTTGCCAAGGTCAACACTGGTATGTGTGGTACCGAACAATCAGTTGATCTGCACGTTGTGGAAGGATCGACACCCTTCCTGCTCTCCAGCAAATGGTTGTGGGAGCAAGAGGCGACTATCAACTTCAAGACGGGCAAGGCCCTTTTTCCCAAGTTGTCTGACAACCAGGTGCAGCTCGAACGAGCCCCTACATTCCATCTTCTTTTGCCACTCACGGCTTTTGAAGGAAATGGAAAGTTGATCAACGAGCTGCTGGTGACTGATGATGATCAGGATGTCTCTATCCTCAAGCTCCAGAGTGCGCCTCCTGAGAAGACCACGCTGAGTGAGGGGTCGGAATAGGGACATCTCCACCAAGATTGTCCATCGGTCACAGTCTTGAGTGGGCCAGAAATTTTGAATGCGGATCCGCATAGCGATAGTGTAGGGAGATCTGTCCCATTTTCCCAGACAGATCCAGCAGTGAGTTCCCTTGAGTGTTGTGGTGGTAACACTCTCTCTAACACTGTTCTGTCGCAAGTGGACTGCCCAATTTTGGCCGATATGCATGACAAGTTTGATCGAATTCGTTTTGAAAATGAACGAGAAACTATGCGGTGTTTTTCTTCCTTAGCTAATGGACGCCAGTTGGACTTGTTGGAAGTTTGTGCTCCTTGGGATTCCCCTCTCGCTTCTGCAGTTGAAAATCATGGTGGTACTGTTTTCAGAATGGGGATACATAACGGTTTTGATTTGGGTACTCGTGCTGGTTTTCTGAAAGCTGTTTATGTGTTGAAACGATTGCGTCCTCGTTACGTTCATGTCAGTCCTCCGTGTTTTCCCTTCTCAATTATGCAAAATGCAAATCAAAGGAATTCTGAACAAATCAGGGAACTTGAGGCAAAGCGACAAACAGGACGGCGCATTTTGCGTCATTGCACTCGCTTATTGGAGATTCAAATCATGGAGCTGGGATCTCAGGGTGGCTGGGCAACAGCCGATCATGCTGTTAGCCAAGAAGAACATGATGGTGGACTTGAACAACCACTTAGAGCCTTGTCTTGGAAAGAACCCAGTCTGAAGAAAGCCACTAGGTTATGTGGGGGACGCTTCCGTGTAGATGGGTGTCGGCACGGTTGTAAAGACTTGAAAACGGGACAACCCCTTCAAAAATCTTTTGGGTGGCTTAGTTCGTCTCTGGGGATACGTAAAGCTCTTCAAATGACTTGTAATCACCCACCAGGATACCATTTACCAATTGAAGGACACAGAACCGCAGCTTCTGCAGTATATCCATCACAGCTCTGTGAACGCTTTGCCCAGGCATTGATGAAAGATCGATCAGCCTTCTTGGGGTTAGTAGATGCATGCCAGGAAACACATGCGTTTGATGAGTGTTTTCATGAGGCAGGTCAGGCATCTGTGCAGGATGAAGAGAGACCACCGAACGCTGAGGGCCAGGATCCTCCCAGAGAATCACCAAATCCCATTTTGGGGGAAGAAAAATCTCAAGAAGACCAAGAAATCATCAGGAAACTCAGGGTTATTCATGCTAATTTGGGGCACCCCAACAAAACCACGATGGGAAGATTGTTGAAAGAAGCTGGGGTCACTCAAAAAGTCCTGCAATTAGCCGACCAAATGGAATGCACCGTGTGCCGACAAAGGGGTCGGCGAGCACCATTGCGACCAGCAGCAGTTCCGGCCGTCACTGAACCATGGGACACTATTTCTGTCGACACGTTTTGGTGGTTTTCACCTCACAAAAAGCAAGGGAAACCCCAAAGATTTTGTGTGGGAGTCAGTTTGTTTGATGAGGGAAGTAACTACCATGTTGTTGGAATAGTTCGACAAGGTGAAAAAACCCAAGAATCTATTACTGCTGAAGAATTTAAAACGTGTTTTCGGTCGTGTTGGTTGCGGTGCTTACCAAAACCCAAACGAATACGGTATGACTGTGAAGGTTTTTTCCGCAAGTTGGACCTTTTTCAGTGGCTGGAGGGTCAGGGGATTCGAGTGCAAGCCATCGCTGCAGAAGCGCCTTGGCAACTTGGCAAGCACTCGAAACACCTGGAGACTGTGAAAGAAAATGCAAGTCTCTTGGCCCTTGAAACGGCCGCTGATGTCGACGTGGAAGAGACGTTTGACGCCACTTTGGCAGCAAAGAATGAGCTGCATACGTTTCGTGGCTTTGCACCAAATCAATGGGCTTTCGGACAAAATTGTGATCGTGTGGGGTCCTTTTTGCAGAATGGAGAACATCCTGTCGTTCAGCAACAGAGGTCTAAACAGGTGTCTTTTGAGGATCACATGAAACGTAAAAACGAAGCTAGAATGATTTTCCTTAGGGAGGATGCCCAGCTTCGAATACAAAGAGCCGCACACGCAAACATTCGTCGTGCACAAGAGTTTGAAACCGGGCAGTTGGTTTACTTCTTCAGACGGGGTAGGGGTCATGGGAATAGGTATGAGAGTTATTGGTTTGGGCCCGCTAAAGTTGTTTGTGTTGAAAAAACGGGCGACCCCGAAAGGAATCAAAGTGCTGGTTCTGCTGTTTGGATTGTTCACGGTACCACTCTCTACCGCTGTGCACCAGAGCAACTTCGTGTGGTCACACATGAAGTTCAAAATTTGAGTCACTTGCTTGGATCCAAAGAAACTCCAAGTTCGATGCTTGAAAATGCTCGACAGAGCCAACAGTATAGAGATATCACTAGTGAATCTCAGCTGATTGAACCTGATGCTGATGAAGCTGTTGATGAAGATCCAAACCTTGATGGCTCACTCGTTCGGGCTCAAGAAGAACTTTCCCGCACGTTAGAGCCCATCCGCCGACTCCGTGGTAAGCAGAATGTCCTTGAACACCTCTGCCCTCCTCAGCGCCCTGCAGACCAAGCAGGACAAGAACCGGCATCCGGAAGTGGAATCCAGCGAGAACCTCACTCAGAACTACCGCGAGATGGATCTCAAGCAGCTGGGAGAGATGGAGCAGAAGCACGGGAAGTACTCCGGGGTGAAGCTAGTGGACATCGTGGAAAAGAAGGAGGACTTCACATACCTGCGGTGGCTCGTAGAGCATCATCCAAAGAACCCCAAGTTTTTGGCCCTGCTGATCTATCTGGAGCGTCACGAGCTCGTGGCCAGTCAGCAAGCCAAGACAGCCGAGCCCAAGTCAGTGAAGAAGCCCGGCGAGACTTTGATACCCATGTCCAGTCAAAGCTGCTCGCCCTACCCAGCCGGGAACCAGGACTCAATGCTCAAGATCGAGATCCTCGAGAAGCGCATGCAGGAGATGCACTCCGAAATGCAAACAATGTTCCAAACGATTCTGGAGCTGAAGGATCACAATCGCCAGATCCAGGAGGCAGTCATGGTTCTCAGCAATCATGTGGCCGGACACCAGAATCGCATCCAACACCTCGAGGACACGGCAGTACTGCCCTCCGACTTCGAGCCAGTCCCGCCGTTCCAGCAAGGATGAGATCACGAAGCCGACACCGGGATCATGAGTCTGACTCCGTGCGGTGGAATGAGAGTCTACCCACTGGCGAAGATGCCTTCATGACCATTGGCGAAATTCTCTCTTCTGAGCCTGAGCCGGTTTTGTTTGATTCCGAAAAGGAATGCTTTCCAGTTGGTTGTGCACGCGTTCCTGCGAAGAACAGGACCAACCATGCACGGGATGGGATTAATCGTGGTTGTTTTTCTTGGATGCCTGATGATTGTTTTGGTGAGCCCACTGTTGATCAGGAGGAGACGCCCATTCCTGTGAATTACATGGTTGAAAATTCGGAAATGATTGAAATCACTATGATTGTGGCCCCAAGGGATGTCCATAATCAAAGGCGAAATGGAGTTCAAGAGTGGGTTCTGAATCAGAAACCCAAAAAGAATGCTGAAGTAAAACTCAAGACCCTCAATGAGGAAGAAAAAGCTGAATTCCGTGTTGCCATGCGGAGTGAGATTGACAGTTTTCTGGAAAGGGAAGCCATTGCCATTGCGTCAAGACACGGTATCGACCCCCAAAAGTTGTTGAACATGCGTTGGGTTTTAACCTACAAGCCTATCACCGATGAACAGGGAGAAGTCACAGGACGTAAACCTAAAGCACGTCTTATTATTCGTGGTTTCGAAGACCCTAGCTTATTGCAGCTGAGTCGTGATTCACCAACCTTGTCTGTTCAAAGTCGAAACTTGATGCTGGCTCTGACAGCCATTCACCATTGGCCTCTCTGGGCTGGGGATATTAAGACTGCTTTTCTCAACGGTGATAAGCTGCCCCCGGAAAAACAACTTTTTGGGGAACCCCCGAATGAAGTGAGGGAGGAGTTGGGAATGAAACCACATGAAGTTCTCAGAATTCAAAAGGTGATTTACGGGTTGTTACACGCACCAAGGGCTTGGATGGAAAACTCAATTCCGTTTTGCAAAGCCATGGTTGGGTTACCTCACGTTTGGAACCTTGTATTTGGAGACTGTTTAATGAATCAGGGGAACTTCAGGGTCTTATTGGTTGTCATGTTGATGATTTGTTGGTGAGTGGTAAAGGGGATTTGTTTGAATCACGTATTAAAGAACTGCGTTCGGCGTTTCCTTTCGGATCCTGGCAGTCCGCTCAAGAAGAGCAGATTACTTTCTGTGGTTGCGAAATCACTCAGGACTCGCATTTTTCAATTTGCCTAGGACAGGAACGATATGCCCTCGGCATCAACGAGATTTGTGTGTCTCCGCAGAGAAAGAAAGATCCTCAAGCTAAGGCCAATATTGAGGAGAAGAAACAACTCAGAGCCACTCTAGGTGCCTTATCTTGGAGAGCCACACAGACATGTCCATGGCTGGCAGCAAGTGTTTCCGTGTTGCAGGGAAAACAAAATGACCCGTCCATTGAAGATCTGTTGGAAGCTAACAAACTCATCCGGATGCAGAGGCAATTTTGTGAAATGCCCCTGAGATTTAGCAGTCAAATTCAAGAACCTGTTTTGGTCAGTTATTCGGATGCTAGTTGGTCTTGTAGGGTTGATGGTTCTTCTCAGGGCGGTCAACTTACCGTTCTAGCAGATCGAAAGTTTTTGGATGGTCACCGTAGCGAGTTCTCTTTGGTCAGTTGGCAGAGTAGAAAGCTTGGTAGAGTAGCCCGTTCATCCACATCCGCTGAGGTACAGATGGCTTCTAATACCACTGATAACCATGAATTTTTGAAGCAGGTTATTCTTGAATGGTTTAACAAGGAAAAATTTGAACCTCATCAAGTGGATGCAGCTATGCGCCAAATTCCTTCGGTCCTGATCCTTGATTGCAAAAATCTGTACGATGCCATGTGTAGGATCCAGTCAAGTGGACTTCAACTTGAAGAACGCAGAACTGCCATTGATGTTTTGTCAATCCGTGAAAGAACACTTGAAACTGGAATCCAGGTTCGTTGGACGGACTCTGATCAACAGTTGGCTGATGGACTTAGTAAACCCAAAAAATTTGATCATCTTTTGGATTTGCTGAAACAAGGTTTGATAAGTATTGTTTTTGATCCTCTGTTTACCTCGGCTAAGAAAAAGCGGGCCGCTATGCGACAAGAACAGAAACAGAGAGATAGTTTTGATTCCCTGGGAACTCAAGATGCTGATGCCATAAAGAAAAGAGAACGGATGCAAATTTGAAGTTCCATGCATCCCTGGTGGCATCAGCAACAGCAATTTGCCTGACAACAGTGTCATGGCCCAAAGTCAGCTTGGAGCTTAGACCCTTTACTCGGCGTGCTATCTGGAAAAGCAGCCAGTGCTCTTTCGCAGTGCTCAGACATTTGCGATCCATTTAGCACTAGGTTCCTTTAGATCAACTCTTTCTGTTGACCAGTGTTGGACCTAAAATCCACACCCCCAATGGTATCCCCCCCCCACTCCTAACCCCCCCCACCCCCCCAAAACCTAGTATTTGCATGTTATTTGCACATATACATACACATATACACATATATACTCCCCTTTCCACCCCTCCAACCTCGCATCTCTACGTTATTTGCAGCACTTGAGAGCCACGACCTCGTCAACGGACCTTGTCTACCTGTATATTTCTATCATAACCTTTTTTTCGAACCGCCTATAGCGTGCCTCGCACATGGTTTACAACATATTTGCTACCTATGGATTACGCAAAGCTTACCTATGCAAACCTAGACATATGTACAGTAGAAAAACAATAAATACATATATATATATATGCACATTCTAGATACTACAGATTGATATCTTGATCTTGTATCTATCACATATTTCGTTTACATTGTACATACTGTACACGTATATATATATATATATATGTATATATATATGCATATATATATATATATATATACATAAACTCTAGATATACAGCGTGTATTGCTGTCGATATTCAATATACCACATATACTATGTAAAATTTATTCAACGAACATATTTACCTATATTGTATATATTACATCTACTGTGGATACAGTACATGTGGCATATACTATCTATAGTCTATCAAAAACCACATATAGGATGTATATATATATGTTCAATATATAAATATATATATGTGTCAAATATATATATATATTATAAATATATATGTATAGATTGCATATATTCTATTTATATCTTACATATTATATATATGTTTATATATATATACACTACACATACACTCTATATTACATATAGTATATCCATTCTAATTATCGATACATATGCATTATATGCACTATAAAGACTACATACACCATGGCTTGGCTGCTGAGAAAACCCCCCCTCCCCTGCCACAGGGGGGGGGGAACCATCTGGCTGGGTGGGGGGGGGTGTGGGGGTCCCTGCTCATATATATATATATAATTATCATATTTAAATCATTTGATTTATATACATACACATTACTATGCACACATTACTATGGCGTCTCCTTTACCGAATTGCAAGCCACGTTTCCACGTTTCAACTCCAGGTAATTCGCATCTTGCGCATCACCCGTGTGCCCTGGCAGTTTGTAGTGAGAATCCACAGGCAAAACCCAGCGGTAATCCATGAGCCATTGGGATTTTCTTGAAACATGGTGATAATCAATACTGAGGAGCCTATTTGGTAAACTGTAAACCGTTTATCATGACCTATTGGTTGTGGAAAAGGGATGAAAAGGGATGAAAAGGGACGAGAAGCGGGGGAGCACCAATCCATTAACCAACCAGTGGAAAAGATAGGACGTCTATGGTACAAGGTGGTTTTCCAGTTCGCTAGCTAAGTTGCTTTACAACCAATATGTCACAAGGGTTTTTGGCATGTTGGGCGTTCACGCGGTGAACATGAACCAGCAACCAATCGGGGAACCATCCCTTTATGGCCCATATGGAAATTCTGGGTCACCCTTCGGTCGGTGAGTTCATTGGTGATGTTTAATCACTAACGTGTTCTTCGACGTGTATGTTGATGGGGGAATATCAATCACACTAGGTGAAAAGATTGAAGGACGAGTTGGATTATTTGGATTAACACAATTAGGATACAACGGTTGACTGAGTAGACTCTGGTACACGGAGTGTTCACGAGTTTGCTTTGCTTGCCATGCATGGATAGATACAACTGTTGATCCTGTACATTCCAAAATTGAAGCAATTAGCATACTAGGGACCTATACCTTGAAATAGCATATCTGTTGGGATGAACACCTATTTTTGCAGCTGTAACTTGATGTAGGAACCAGGGAACCGGGGAACCACAGAACCAGGGAACCAGAGAATTGCTCATCCAGAGCCGAATATGCCATTCTCAGTCCATTAATAATACCCAATACACCTATGACTATGAGACATTCATATGATTCCCATTCTGCGGTGGATGATCATACCAAATACAGCATGTTTTGGCCATCGCATGAGCTGCAGGTTTGGGAAGCCTATAGCCCACTCTACACACTCTACACAGTAGAGTCAGCGTTTTTTAGCCTCTGTTTTTTTGGGATATAATAAGAATATAATATAAGATATATTGTATGTTCAAAGTGGAAGTGATCTGCGCGTACATATATTATATATATACATATAATATATATATATATATAATATATATATATATATAATATAATATATATATATAATATATATAATATATATAATATATATATAATATATATAATATATATAATATATAATATATATATATATAATATATATATATACATATATATATATATACATATATATATATATATACATATATATATACATATATATATATACATATATATACATATATATATATATACATATATATATACATATATATATATACATATATATATATATACACACATACATATATATATATACAATGTATACATATATATATATTTGTTAAGTGGTGGAATTTCCATATATAGACCTTTGTGGGTGTTGCCTTCCCAATCCTGGCCATGCTCCACCAGCCCCTGAGGTTTTCCGAGTTATTCGAGTCGTCAAGGTCCGATTCTGGGGACTCCATGGGACAGCAGACCGACAGCAATGCCACCACTGCTCTTCTGTAGACTGACAGCCTGTAGATTTATAATATATATATAGTGAAAAATGATATATATATATATACACATATATATATAATGGAAATAATAATCTATAATGATATATATATATGGAAAATCCACGCAGGTCGTTTTTGTGCGCTGTCCGAGAGATTGGAGGGAAAATCAGGCGACAACACGGACAAATATGTCAATGTCAACAGAAATGAGAAAATAGAACTGGTATCTTCAAAGGCTGAGTTCGAATTTCAGCACTACTAAGAAGTGCCATTCCCAAATCCCCATTGCATCCCAGGCGTATTATGCTTTATTGATATTATAAATTTTATAATTTGCCCCATGAAAATTGCTGTGAATGAGTTTTTGGATGTGATACTGATGGGGGTTTTTCTGTCCCATGGTATTCCAATGTATTCCACTGATTCCCAGTATAATTTAAGTTACCTAGCATGTAGTACAGATATTATTTAAATTGTGTATATAGTTAACTTAGTTAACATAGTTGGTTTTCTACCTGCATTTCTAGATGCTGGTGAAATCACCGTGACTTCCCAACTTCGGGCGCAGGTCATGAAATTCATCCGATCGTTGAGACAATTGGTTGAGTCGGTGATGCACACCATGAGGCGCACAGGGCTGGTAATTGGGTGTTTTCGGGCGCAGGGCGCAGGCTGTTGCAGGTTTCTCAATGGGGAGAGTGGGAGATCATGGGACTTGTAATATCTTGTAATATTGTAATACAATTAATGACATCTGAAAATGGTATATACTGGTATACCATGGTATATCCAATATGGCCCATTTGGAAGAATGATGACCAATCCTGAGATTTAGGTCTACCACATATTCAGACAAAGCCATATCAGACGTTGACGGATCTGGGTTCTATGTTTTTTTCTGCGACCTCACAAGACCACAGATATCCTTAGGGGAGCCGCCCAGACATCACCCAAGATTTCAGATGACAGTGAGTCAGGTTATGTTGAACCATGACGAAAATCAGCCGAATCTATGGGTGGTGAAGAGACACTCCGCAAGATCTCCGGGCAATCTTTCAAGGGTTGAATTCACGGGTGTGCGAAAGCATTGTGTGAAATTCAGTGTTCATCAACATAGGTGTGTGACGAAACGAGGGATACCCCAACATGGCAATTTTGATGTCATTCTCGGGATGGCCACGGCTCATGCATTGGTAAAAAATCACCAATTGCGTGGTGATGTTCCCAACGTTTGAACTTAAAGGTCCCATGTTTTCCACTGTTGTGTTTTCATATCTCCATGTTTCAAGAACTATTCCTACAAAGATTGATTACAATTGTTTTTAGCTCATGGTTCTGCAGGTCAATGGTATAGTTTTTGTTCGCTTTTAAAGAAGTCAACATAGACCGTATTAGATCTAATTATATAATTTATTAGTGCTTGTGAATTGTTGACCGATTATGTTATTTTCTGTTCAATACACCATGTTGGGATGGCCATCCAAGCGCTCAGATCTCTAGCATGGTCGATGCTTCTGTTGGTCCCTTGGCGTTATCAGGTCCTCCCGGTCGCAACCATCGGCAACCAAGGTTGGTCGATAAGTTGCGTAATGATGTTGAATCTGTTCATGGATAATATCATCGTGTTATATCGTTGTTATATACAGTATAGTATACATAGCAAGAGCAAGGCAAATCTAACCTTGATACAGGGTACTCAAGCAAAACATTAAAGCGCTCGGTGAGGGAACAACAGCTGTGAGTGTCTTTTGAAAGACAATGCACAGTCAGGACTTCTTGGTCGCTTCCATAAGGTCTTGTTGCCGAAAAACACTATGGTAATTATGGAAAATAACCATTTCAAATAGGTAAATAGTTAAATTAGTGTAGATCATTTCCATCTATCTGGCAGGCCATGCGTTCCATAGCTATGTAACAAAAATCGGAGGCCAAAAAGGTGTGCGTGTCCTGTGATCAAAATGGCGTTTCTTTAACAACTTGGAAGTCACAGGTCGAGGTCGCCAAGAAGTCAGAAACCTGACACCATTTTGGGTACCCTATCAAATGAAACTAGCTGAGAAAAAATGGATGTTGATTCCTCCAAAGGCAACAAAAACTCGCTTTTGACCTATCCCAGTGTGGGCATTGCATGAAGATTGGCCCTGATTCTTGGGAACCATTCGGGGTCGTCATCACCATGGGATCAATGGTTGAGCCAGAGCGGCCCAAACTGTTTTGTTTTTTTCCCAAGAGCACATAATTATTAATTTTGGAAAGGCTATATATGCTAAACTAATCCCACACTTTCTTACCATGGTAAATTTTCCCAAACTTTCTATGGCGGTAAGGATAAGATGGGGATAGAAGAGATATATCCTGTGACATGCTAGGTTCGGATGTTGACAACACCCGCACTAGGATACTTGGTGATGTAGTTGAGGTGAACTTGATAGGTATACCGCCTATGGTCTTATAAACCCCCGTAAGTTGGGATATGGGGACTATCGGGCCAATATATAACTATGGTAATGGTTAATATATCATGATATTTCCACAATTATCCACATGTACCAGACGATGACTATTTCATCATCATCATCATCATCACCATCATCATCATCATCATCATCATCATATAACTATTACACATATGGTATACGTATCCATGTGTAACTGAAACTGCACCCCAATACCCAGATTGTGATCATCTACGTCTTTGCGATCATGTTCACTGCTCCTGGGCGCGCACGAGTCCAGATCCGTTTTACTACAGTTGGGGATCGGGGGACTACCTCAATTTTTGAGAAACGGTGGACAAGTTTAAAAGGGGAAAATTGTGATTTATAGATTATATATATACATATATATATATACATACATACATATTCATATATACATATATATATACACAGAGGAATTTGCACTTTAGATGCCTATGTATATGTAATATATATATATATGAGAGAGAGAGAGAGGGTATTTCTCATTGCCATTGCCGTGTTTGATTCCCCGAAGGGTAAGAGGAAAGTGGATGGAAATGGGTGAAAATAGATGGAAATTGTATGCAATTGTCGTTATATAAGCTTGTTTGAGTGGAAAATGAAAGTCGTGGAATATATCATGGGACAAAACAACCATGATTGACCACGGTTTGGTTGGATTTCCAAGGGTTGAATGGCTGAATGGACAAACATATATGCAAGTCTACATTGCTTTCCAAGTTCATGATTGCTTCAGGAATTTTCAGGATGTTTCAGCTAGGCTTATGTAAGGATAAGGAGAATCAATATGACCACTCTCAATAGCCAGTTCGATACAGATGTTGGATAGAAACAACTAAATACCAACAGTACTGCAATTAACAAGAACTGAGCTAAACGCCCACGAGCGCAAAATACACGAATACAGAAGGAAGGTTGCCTCACATGCCAGAAACTGGATTTGGTTGGAGCAGTTCGTTCAATAGTGGTGTGATGTCGTCTATAAGTTCCTTTTGAGAAACTCCAGTGCCACATATTCTCAAAACAGAAACATGCTGGGTATCATCTAAGCGACATTTTTTGTTTCTGCTGCCCGAAGCCAAGTGAAGTGGATTGGACTCATGATGTTTTTGTTCTGCCTTTGTTCCAATCTTGGGTTTATCCCCTGTTCACGGTCTATATCACGTTCATAGCCTATATGTGCACCTTGAGAAAGGTTTCAATAATCAGTGTTCTTTTCATGGGATGTGAATTCCAACCCATATTTTCGTGGAAAATCCCCTTGGATCACTGAAATCAGTGAAATGCCACTGGGGTCCAGGATGCCTCCGCGAGCTTCCAAGAGTTTAGTCCAGAGAGTGTTCTGACTCCCGGCGGCATCCCTGAGGAGATTTTTTTCTGTGGAGTTCTTAAACCGGGGGAGCCCCAATAGCTGGATGGTTTCATGGAACATCCCAACTTAAAAAGTGGATGACTGGGGGTAGCCCCATGACTTAGGAAACTTCCATTAATATTCCATCAATATTCCATGACTATACTTGTTCACCTCCGAGACAGAAGCCATGGGAGTTGCGGAAGCCACATTTTCCACCATGGATGTTTTTCTGTCAGTCAAGATGGGGATTCATTCAACGAAGACCTGCGGATCCCCTTTAAAAAAAGTAACTGCACTAATTTCCAGAAGGAAAATCATCATCTGGTAATTCAACCTGGTTTGCTGGAAAATGCAGCATTTAGTTACTTTAGTTCGATGATTTTCCCACTGAAGCCTGCATTTTTCGGGCATGTCTCGGCTACCAATGTTTCATTACCAAAGGGTATCCTCCAAAACCAAGTGTATGTTTAGGTTGCTGCAAACCTGAGGAATGATATATGTGTGAGTATTTGTGAGTCAATAGCTGTGAGACCATGAAAATGAGAGATGCATATCATTGATATGCATTGATATGCATTGATTAAGTGCATGATTTTTCTATAGTCAATATTTAGGATGCCGGCAGAAATGGGTTCAATCATGGTTATGGTCCTATATGTTGTACTTGTAGGCTTTCACTATTGTTCAAAGAAATGCTTGACTCCAATATGTGGATGCAATTGGCTCAACCCAAGGGAACATAAAGCCAGCAAAACATGATATATACTGTAACTAAAAAAACATAAAAACCCTTCATTTCTGGTTCCACACATGCCTGCAGTGCTTGGAGTGGATCAAATTATGGGTTCAGCCCAGTTATGAAGCATTCTTGGTGAGATGATCCGGATGTTTTTTGCTGACGATCTTCCATTTCTGGCCATATCATACCCATTAAATATACATAATATATATATATGTACCCCTGTATATATATATATACAAAGTATATTTATATATGATACAATATAGTTTGTATATATATAGATATAGATAGATAGATAGATAGATAGATAGATATATAGAGATATAGAGATATAGAGATATAGATATATAGATATATATATATATATATCTATATACGTATGTATGTATGTTGGTGAATCCCCAAAAAAATGATGTGTTGCTGATCTCCACGTGGCTCCTGTTTCTGCGCCATTCGTTGCTCAGAAACGCCGATCTCAAGAGCTACTTTGGGGATCTGCACACGTCGATGCACACGCTCTTCCGGAGCGTTTCGGGCTGCTGGGATCATCGAAAACTGCTGGGATCCAACTGTTGTTTCGCTTCGCAGTTGGCCATAGCTGGGTAGAAAGCGAAGTGATTATATAATGGTAGGCTGATAGATTATGTGTGATCCATTCTGGGGCTGAGTTACATGATGTTATATGTCTTTATGGACTTTAATGGATGTTATTCAGCTGAAAACGATCTATTTTTTTGAGTGTTGTTGTGTATCCCTAAAGCCTAGCCCACTTAGGAGACGGAGATGGTACAAGCATGCGCTCCCAACAGGACTAGGTAGGTGAAAGGCCATGGTTGGCCCCAGTTGTGGTAGCAGTTGTAACCCAAGTCAGAATAAGATAGGTATGATGCATGTCAGTGCGTACAAACTCAGGATCCACAAAGCCATAGAGATGCTTCAACTTTAAAGCATTTTGAATCACCTTAAGCTTAAGCACACTTGTTTCTCAATATATAATTTCATGTTCTATTCTGCGAAGATCTGCAACTTGAAATCAGCCCAAAGGTCACATCCCCCATCTTTCCCACAGACTGGTTCCAGTAGATTCCCCTTAGAGGGACCTTTTCCTTGGTTTTCCACTAGGTTTGATTGTCAGATGCTCATGGCTTAGTAATACGCCACCGAAGAAAGGAGTTTCAGGCTGGATACATCCATATATATCGTATACTAACCATATACCGGAAATTTTCGCAATACATATATACTTGGTCCCTACCGCTTATATCATCATATTATATTCTTGGCTGTTGTTTGTCCTTCAGTGAAGCCTTTAAATATACCATTCGAACGGCGTCCTTGGCTTTTGGCCTCCGCGGTTAGGTGGTATCGATTGGGGCATGGTGGCGCATCCGTTGGGAGAAGTCCATTGGATTTGGATGTACTTGTCCGGGACTGAGACACTGCAGCTGTGAACCTGAACATGCACTGAACATGGGCTATATGTGGGTTTCCATAAAAGCGGGTACCCCAATGGCTGAATGGTTTTATAATGGAAAATCCATAAAAAAATGCCATGGATTTAGGGGTACCCCTGGGAAAATTACATCATAAATCCATGGGATGGAATGGGGTAGGGCTGTTAGAAAGCAACCTCACCGATCTTGGGGTCCTCACAAAACGACTGTACAAAAAATTGGTGTGTCCAACTGCCACATCTGACAGTCACGGACGTTGCGGGCGTCAGGTTCAGCTTATATGTGGCCTTCTGCATGTGTCTTGGTACCCGCAGAGTGTTTCGTTTGAGTGGGTGGATTGTAGCCACACGGGTTGCGTGGTTAGTTGTTTTGTGATTAGATTAGGGGAAATTGACATAATTAAATCAAACATCCAGATAGGTACCCGACAGTTCAATCATTGTTACCCAACAGTTTTATCATGGTACCCTACGGTTTAATCATGGTACCCTACGGTTTAACTATGGTATACAGTAATCCATAGTTAAAACAAGTAAACTGTTAGCAGCGGATCAACGAACCACGAAGGGCAAGTACCCGAGGATGCCAGGAACATGGAGATGGACCATGTTCCCTGTGTTTCGTACATCAAATTTCTACACTTTCTACCGTGCTGTTTGGACCAAGCAAGCCTGTAAATGTGACCATGCTTTACCATGTTCCTTCCGTTTTCCTTCCATTTTCCCTCCATGTTCCTTCATTTCCCATGTTTTTGGCAAAAAAGTCTTCCCTGGCGTTCAAAAACAGACACACCTTGGCCAGGTTCGCGGTGCTCAACGTGGAGCCCTTAGCGACACCCAGACACGGGGATTTCCATAGTCATGGGGGATCCCCAATTGCTGGCTCGTTTAGTTTATAATGGAAAACCCTAGTAAAAACATGGATGATTGATGTTGAAACCACCATTTTGATCCCATTTTAGGAAGCCTCCATGTCTTGAAAGGATGATTGATGTTGAAAAGGTATCCAAGGCTTTCCATGTCTTGAATGAAGGGAAAAAAGTGTATGTATGTGTATATATTATATATATATATGTGTGTGTGTCGCAGACACATAAGCCTATGAAGCTATGGCCCAAAATATGGTTAAACTGATGCTGTAACAACTCGAAAAGGACCAATGATGGAGTGCGTTTTTTCTGGTTGACAGCTACCTTTCTTAATGGTCCACCATAATTATCTGGGATGACCAATCCTTTTGGATTGCAATCCTTTTTGGTTGAAACTGTTCACCAGTTTTGGCAGAGCTTTTGATAGCCAGCAAAGTCTATTTCAGCAGCGGTGCACGCGAGGTTTTTTTCCCAGGTGATCTGGCTGGCTCAACCATGTGGTCTCAATTTCGACCCCCCATTGTTGATCCCCTCAATTAACAAATGTCAACTTAAAGCATGGCTTCCTGTTTTGATTCCTCGCCTTTTGATGATTTATAGTAACCAAGGTCTATCTATATGGAAACACAATGGACCAGTAGTTTAGTCAGTCAAAAACTCAATCTTTGGATATCTTTGGGGGGTTTGCCGGGGTTACTGAATATTTCACCAGGATTGTTTTCGCGCCCAACCTTGCAGCCCGCTGCAGGTAATGACTGGTATCTTTTGCCAAGTTGCAGTGGCCTCTGGGGCGGCATTTTCCGGCGTGAAGAGGTCGTAGTCGCATACCGGGTAGACCTTTCGTGTGCAATGATTTAACAATGATGATTGGATGATTGGGGAACAAAGATAACAGGTTGGATATCAGGGTAACCTAATGGGTGATGGATAGTTTCATAAGTTTCATACGCACCCTCTGGAGGATTCTAAGATTCGCTATGACCATCCCGGATGCAGGGGAAGTTGAGGAATCGGATGGGTGAAAATCACCGCTTCGACAACATCCTTGCCAGTGGTTTGAACATGTTTTGAACTATATGTTCTTCGATTCTAGTCTTCCCGGCGTGACCATTTCTCTAGAGGCAACATTCCCATATTCAGAAAATCTTCGCATACCATGTTTTCATCGTACTCCAGACCTGGGTTTTGGTATGTTACTTTGATAGGCATTTCAGCACAATCTGGAGGGAACAGTCGGGCCATGGCGAATCCACTGAATGCCCCTCCACAGCTTTCTATCCCCTAGGTCGTTCCAAAGCAGCTGTGGACGTTGGATGAATTGAAGGCTGCTTTGATAAGGAAGTTTCCTCATTTGTCTACTGAAGAAGGACAGGGTTGTCAAAGGTAACGTTTTTAAAGGTTGGCTGAGTAAAAATTAGCCAGTTTCTTCCCCGGGGCCTCGCCCAAGGTGAATTCGGAAAAAAAGAACCCACTGGTGTGCCCCTGGAAGTTTAGGCTGGCTTTGGGATTGGAATTTGGGTTCTGGCGCCGAAATTTCCCTATGTGGTCTCTATACCAGCCACGCATACTCGGAATTCTTCGCATTCCACAAATTCTTCGCACTCCAGCGAGGGCATCGCACTCCACAGCTGGGGAGGTACACATACTGTCAAGTCATCGCACTCGGCAAGATCTGCGCACTCCGTAAAATCTTCGTACTCGGTGAATGAAACGGTTTTTAGTTTTTACGTTTTTTTTGTTTTTTTGTATTTGTTTTGCTAAAATGGCCTGGAATCACGTATTCTGGATTATGGGGAAGATGGAGTTCCCACCG